ACAAACATACAATCCGGAGTGGAGAAATCATTCAAACTTCTGGTGGACCGACAATCCAAATTTTCAACAAGTGTTCTTTACGTACTCAAATTAGAACTTATAGGAAACCGACAAGTTCTTCGTGGGATCGACCCCGTACTTACATAATCTATACTTCATTAGATTCGTGCACTTGCGGGTATTTTTAATTGGTTGTTTGCACATTAATTTGTGTCCTTTTAGGAATGCAACATTGTTCCTTCGGAATTGATTGTACTTCTTGTTAGGGTGTAAAATCCAATCCAAATCGATTAAACTGACCAAACTAGGCAAATTAAATCTAATTCTAATTGGATTTGGATTGTATTAGATGCTGATTTCATAAATCATATTGGTTTTACGGTGTTGAAAACCGACTAAAATGAACCAATCCAATTGATTTTCTTACTTGTTATGTTTCTACTGGTTTGTAACCAAAAAATTAGTCAAATCAGACAACATCTAACTATAAATCAAATAAATAGAGGAACAACATAATTGTATTTATAAAATAATGAAAATATTCAATATAATAATCAAATGGTTAAACAATTTTTTAACTTTTTGCAAGGGTGATCTTGGAATGATGACCTCAAAAATGAACTTTCATATCATGATATGACATTATGTATTGGGCCCAAACGAATGATTTACAGTGTATTAATTAACTTACTAATTTTTTAGTGCTTGAGCATTCGTTCTATAAATGTACCTATTTATATTAATCTATATATCGTTAAAGACCTTTATAGTTAAATTTCTAAAAATTTGACAAATACCCTCAGCTAATTAAAATGGCAGCAAAAATGACTAATAAAAAATAGTAAAATAGTAAAACAAACATGTGTTTAAATTAAAAATAAAAAACACATCCATACCATATCATCAGTTTATTCATCCAAATTAAGGACATGGGGTGGAATCGTACAAATTCTACATTTAAACTCATACATGCTGATCACGTGACTTGTTATTGTTTGAGATGCGAAGTTTATAATTTTACAAAAAAGACATAACCTTGCAACTCTAACAATCTTTGTTTTTTCTAATTACTATTTTTGGACAAGGATTAAGTGTGTTAATTGCGTCTGTTAATTGTGTTTAAAATAGACAAGAGGTAGAGAGGAGAGGACAAGGTCAACGAGGACTACAGTTTGAACTTCCTTAGGTCTGTTTTGTACCGAAGAATTAAAAGTGCAACCCAAAAATAGCAAAAAACAAAAAAGGTTTGCCTGAAAATAGAAATTGGGTGGAGAAAATCCTCCTGCTTTGTCGGAGGGTGATCTGTTCCATGGCTTCCTCCTTTCCTTAGATGGAATTATTAGCATGCAACCTTGTTTTCCTGTCCCTCTGAGAAACCTCCCCTGTTGCATGCCCTTCTGCTTTAGGTACAAACTCATCTCTCTATCTCTATCTCTGTCTCTATATCTCTCTAGCACACAACCACATGTACCTAGCTTGCTAGGTACGTCGGTACGCCCAACAATGCATGCATGATTTACACATTCTTAATTAATTTGTTCTTTGCATGCATGCATGCAGTTATGTTTGATCTAAGCTCTCATTTTGATGTTTGTTTTTGTTTTTGAAATTTCCGGTGAATAAGTTTTGTTTGCTTGTTTATTAATTACATGTTTAACTAATTTTGTGGTTAGGGGTCATCAACAGGCTCACCTTTCAGAGGAGCGGTGGGGTTTCTCCGGCACAGACTCACGATAATTCTGGTCGGAAACTCCTAAAAATGGGGTCCTCTGACGATCAGAATTCGCCATCGGATACCCCACCATCTGACTCTTCATCATCATCGCCAACTCCTCCATCTTCGTCGTCCTCATCCTCATCACCGTCTCCACCATCATCGAATTCAGGTTCAGGTGGAGGTTCAGGTTCGAGTGGAGGTTCACCGCCCTCATCATCATCACCGCCTCCAAGCGACTCATCCTCCTCAAACAACTCAAACGGCGGCTCGTCATCTTCAGGAAACTCAAACAGCTCATCCCCGCCTTCCAACAACAACTCCGACAAGTCCTCCGGCGGCAATGCACTAAGAGGAGGAAGAAGAGACAGACTTCTTCTCACCTCATGGAGAACCCTGAGCCGTATAATCCAAATGGTAATGTCTAAACTCCAACTCTTCAAACTCATAATTTCTTCTTCAAAATCTAATGGTATAGCATTTATACTTTTTTTATTTATTTGCATGGACATTCTTATTGATCATCTTGGCTTAGTTTGTGGCCCCGTGGATATCTTATTTATTTACAGACATGTATAAAATTGTCATTTTAAAATCTCATTCTACCCAATGGCACTTGATTATTTCTTAGTGATAAATAATAGTAATGTTGATGGAAATTAATATTTTGTACTTAAACCTTAATGACTAATTTATATTTTATATAATTTGGGTAATGTGCATGAGCAGGAAGTAACTATTGGCAAAGCACTGGACCTAAAAGTACTGAGCACATTATGAACATGCCTCCTTCTGGCCGCGCACCCAATGGAGGTTGGACTACAGCTCCACCACCACCCATGATGAGCAGCGAAATGAGTTCCTCCAACTTCTCCGGTCCACATGGTCCCCCCTTGCCGCCGCCACACCCTAATGTGGCTCTCGGGTTCAACAAGAGCACTTTCACCTTTGATGAAATGGCGGCTGCAACATCAGGGTTTGCGCCAGCTAAGCTAATAGGCCAAGGTGGTTTCGGGTACGTGCACAAAGGGGTGTTGCCAAACGGCAAGGAAATCGCTGTGAAGAGCCTCAAAGCGGGTAGCGGACAAGGCGACCGTGAATTTGCAGCCGAGGTTGAGATCATTAGTCGTGTTCATCATCGCCACCTTGTGTCACTTGTGGGGTACTGCCTTGAAGGAGAACGAAAGCTGTTGGTGTATGAATTTGTTCCTAACAACAACCTCGAATTCCACCTTCACGGTACGCAACTAAACTATTATTCCAACTGTTTAAATCTCGACTATGTGACAATATTTCATATGTTTATATTTAGACTCACCTATAACTTTAAAATGAAATCCTTCATTACTTAGTAATTAAAAGTTAGTAATTTAACAAGTCTTAATTAATATCACTATTTTACAGGATCAAATCGGCCACCCTTGGAATGGGGCAGCAGGGCCAAAATTGCGTTGGGATCGGCTAAAGGGCTTGCTTACTTGCACGAAGACTGTAAGTAATTTGTGAAACTGCAGCTATCTTTTCTTTTGATCTATTGCTCTTTGGTACCTTAGTTATAGTGTATTTTGATACTTGCAGGTCACCCCAAGATTATCCACCGCGACATTAAGGCTGCAAATATTCTGATTGACTTTAGTTTCGAAGCTAAGGTAGGGTTAATATATGTTGTTACATATGGCTTTAGCCTAGAAAAAGTTTAAGGATATAATTAATGTTTTTATTGGCTGATAGCTAATTGATTTAAGTATATACTAATTACTAGTATGCATGATTTCTTCAGGTGGCAGATTTTGGGCTGGCAAAGCTGAACCAGGAAAATGTCACCCATGTATCCACCCGTGTCATGGGAACATTTGGGTAATTTCTTGACTCATATAGTATACTTTAAATTACAAACTAACCACATAAGATGAAAGTTAATGTGATGGAAACAAACTTATCAAACTTATCATGCAGGTACTTGGCTCCTGAGTACGCATCGAGTGGAAAGCTAACCGAGAAGTCTGACGTTTTCTCTTTCGGTATTATGCTCTTGGAGCTCATCTGTGGACGCCGCCCTGTGGACTTGTCTGGAGAATGTGAGGAGGATACCTTAGTAGACTGGGTTCGTACTCTCCCTCCCTAATAAACATATAAATTATGTTAAACAGAACAATATGTTATGTTACTAGACTGTGAATTTGGGACCGACCATTAGTGCCAGATTGACAGTTTGTATCCTGCCATGCATTTAAACTGCTTATTTGCAACAAATTTAGAATTGATTTGCATCTTGACATGAAAAATATGAGTAATTCTTTGCATTATACATGATCAACAACAGGCTAGGCCTCGCTGCCTGAAAGCAATAGATACTGGGGACTATTCTGAAGTGTTGGACCCACGGCTAGAGAACAATTATAACCATGAAGAGGTGGCACGAATGGTGGCATGTGCTGCTGCGAGCGTTAGACACTCTGCGAAGAAGCGACCAAGAATGAGCCAGGTATAAATAAAAAAAAGGACCATTACTATAGACTGATCTTTGTGTTTTTGGTGCTGATCTTGTGCTATGTATAGAGTCTTACGTAACCAAATATTTTTTATTTATGAACAGATTGTTCGTGCATTGGAAGGCGATGTCTCACTGGAAGACTTGCACGAGGGGATCAAAGGGCAGTTTGGCTCTGGCTCTACTAGCATTGCTTCATCTGAGTTTGATGCTAACTCGTACAATGCGAAAATGAAGCCGTTCAGAAAGCCGGCACTGATTGACAGCACAGACTATCCAAGCAGTGAATACGGGCCCACAAGCGAGTACAGCCACAACTCCAACTCTGCAAGCAGCAACCACTCCCAAGAGATGGACAACAAGAAAGGGATGAACCGGCCACAAGGTCCAGTTTGAGCAGCAAACAATGAGCTGGAACATGGACCGAACCGATGGAACAAGACAACCCAGAACTGGTTTTATAACCTTTGGAGTACTATATTATAGAAACATAAAGATTCTGCAGGTTAATTAGTGTTAAAATTAAGATTGATGATGCTAATATTTGTGTATCATGTGAAAAAGTGATAGACAATATTGTGTGTCACTCTTCCCTGCAGACATTTTTGTATTGGCCATGCATGCACCTTACTGCTTACCCAAGTATACCTCTGATTAATTTCAGGTAGGTAAAGATGGTGGTAGATGCACAATTGTGACATTCCATTAAACATGGGGCACACCAAATGATGGAGGAGTTGTAATTTTCTTTTTTTTTCTTTTTTTCTTTCTTATGTTCTTTTGGAAATGGGTGAACCTAGCTATGTGTGTTTGTATGTACTTGCTACTAATGTTAAACAAACACGTGCATTTGGAGGAATTGGTAGCTCGTGTGTTTGTATTTTCTATATTTTATATCTAAGTATTATTGTTAAGAATTGGTGAGAGTTGAGAATGGATGGAAATTTTGGCTAGAGTAGTAATGTTTCTCTACCTCATGGATATCCAGGTAATTTATAATTTTTTTTTATTTTATACAAGCGATAATCTACTTTAAACTAATCTAAATTACGGGAATAGAAATTTTGGCTAGAGTAGCATTGTTTCTCTTTTTCTTTTTTCCTTTTTCTTTTTTTTTTGTCAGTAGAGTAGTATTGTTTCTCTGCCTCATGGATATCCAGGTAATTTACAATTAAGGTATCAGAAATTGCAAACCAACATTAATTGCCATGAGTGTAATCTGTAAAGAGTAATATTATTGCTTGCAATGTACTTTTGCAGTATGGTAGCATCCTGATTTTTTTTTATATAAACAAATTAACCATCCAAATGGTGACATGGGCTTTCTAGTAGTGTAAAAATTGGAAAAATTATGACCCCTTGTTACCTAAAATCCATCTTCCCAACCTAGCTATCTCTTCTTTTTTGTCAAAAACCTAGCTACTTCAAGTTGATTATGATTTAGAACATCAAAATTGAAAGTAGCTCCTTAAGAGGAATGCAATGCATGATGACCATTTTCTGAAAAAAATTCAGAAGTTAATTTGGAAGGACACAATAGCCACCCTTTGAAGCTCTCCTTACGAGAGAGACTAATGTATAGAACTTGCGCCTAAAAACCAGCTTGTAAACGATGGGTGCGCAAGAAATCTTAAACCATCTTATTTTTCCAATATAAAAGTAAACATGAAATTTTCTGAGGGTCTAGTACCGTGCGGGAGGAAGAAATTTTCTGAGGCGACTTTGAACTATGAAAGTAAACAAGAAATCATTACTATGTATGCCTATGAGGGAGAACCTTTCCAATCTTCAGATATTCAGATTCAATACCAGAGGAACCAAACAATACAATTCACTTCTTTGTAATTCAGAGTGCTTCAAAATTCATGTCTTGTACATTAACAAATGTAATGGAAAACTACACTTGAATTTAAAGAAAAGAAAAACAAAAAAATAGGGTAAAAGGTAAGTCAACCCAATGAGCTTGACACGATTCTTCCGACTATTATTACTAATTAAACAGATGAGCAGGCAAATGCTCGATAAAAATGCAAATTGACCTCTTGCAAGACCCCTCAACTTTCAAATGTAGTAATGTGCAATTCTTTCTACAAAATGTTTGATCTGTATACAGCCATCTCAGCCAGTGCTCTCATTAGAGAAAAATGAAAAGACCGTCGTATCAATAAAAGATCGCCTGTATTAACCAACTAGCCGCTGCCCACAATCTCATGAATGGCATCACTGACACCTTCATCCTCAGATCTAACGGCCAGTTTCATGGCAACCTCCCTTGAACTATCTATTCCAAAAGACAACCGCACAAGGACCTTCACATTGCCTATGTATACACCAGACAATAGACATGTGTGTGACCTTGAGTTGCTGGCGAGAACCTCTGTGCCCTGAAACCACACCGAGAAAATACGGCATAAAATATACACATACATATAATTTAGTCAACTTATTTTCAAAAGTTAAAATACATTTGTGAAGTATCCAATGCAGATTATTAGAAGTGATGCATCCATTGAGTATCCATGGGTTCGACCTATAAAAGCACATGCAAGGCAACACTACATCGAAAGAATCCAAAAGTGCCTAGTCGACAAATGATAAACATTTGATTTTAAAACAAAATTACCTCACAGGGCTGCAGTCCAAGGAGGTTGATGACAGTGTTAACAGCTTCAGTCAAGCTATCCCTTTGTCCCAGGCCATATTCATCTATCCGCTCAAAATCAGGGCCCATGCTTTCCCATGCATTCCTGAAATTGAAGACTGGAACCTTCAAAATGTAATCAGCAGGGACAACCTCAAGATCCTCCAGCTGGTATTCATCTTCCACACCATCTTCCTCTGCCTCGCCAGTGGTTGGATCAACCTGGTGAGACACACCCAACTCATAAGAAAAGAAAATAGACAAAGCTCAAAACTTCTGACGATTTGATATTTCATATTGTATATCATTGTGTATATCCTTAGAAGCCATCCTTCTAGTCTTTCTTCATTAACACAATTAAAAAATTATCATGAACACAAAACAAACCCATAGAAGAAAGATGTACAATCACCGAAATCCAATTTAATGAGCAAGGTATTATGAGTAGAGAAGAACTAGAACAACTAGTGTTACTAGCCAACAAGGTGTATGGTGAAGTTTAGCAAAAGCTTTGAGCAAGACATCCATCTATGTGATAGTTGTGGATGACAAGACTTGCAGATTATATAGAACTTCAAAAAACACATATAGCTTTTCCATAGTTTTATTAGCTAAATCCAGTTTCACTCCCATGTCTGGTTCTTAATGATCAACTCACTGTCAAGAAACTCAATCTAAGCACATGGATAAAGGTAGAACTTGGTACCTCTTTAACAATGAACCTCAATGTGTTTGAAAATTTTCCGACTGCGGGGACACCTTCTGGCCTCTCAAATGCCAAAAAGGTCTGTCCAGGTGTATCATAAGGAAGAGACGGGAGAGGCTTGGATGCAACTTCAGAAAATTCCTCTGCTTCTGAAGCATCCACGGCAACAATAACCTGGCAGACAGAGAGTTATAAAGAAATTCTCAAGGAGAGCTACAAAATTAAAAAGCTGTTTCAAAATAACCAGTCATTACATTTTCCAGTAATTGCTCGGGAATGGTATTGGTGCAGTTGTACTGGAATACAACATGACTATCAAAAATGTGCTTGACAACATTAACTGCATATTCGGTTTCTGGCTCTGTCAACTCCACAGGTGCTGAGGACTGATATGTGAAAAGGTACACATTAAACTCCAAAGTAAAATATATATATATATATATATATAAGCTGTAACATGCATGTAAAGTATGAGGAAATATTCACGTTGCAGAACCTTGAATAGCTTGCCAAAGTTTGAAAACTCCGGAATGGAGGAAAGCAACTTCTCATAAGCATCGACTGTTGATACAGGGGCACTTGGAGGTGCACCCAGACCAGCTGGCTTTTTACTCTGGGCTTTCTTCTCAGCAAGTGGCTGGGACTTAATCTCCTTGGGTACAGAATTAAGGTCAAAAGGTTCTTCTGAAGCCTCCTGTAATCGGCATTAACACAATCCTGAAAACATGAGATAAGGACCTTAAAGGGAAAAATGGAAAAAGCAAATGGAGGTTACTCACATAATTCTTCAAACTTGTCTCCAGATTGACAAGTGGCACATCCAGAGACCCAAAGAGGAAGTCCTTTACATCACTGTCAGTCTCAACAACTGAACCATCTCCTCCAAGCGTATTTAGATAGAGCGTTGCCCTATCACGAACCTGGGAAATTGCAGAAAAGAGAAAACTATTCAGTATATTCTGAAGGACAGAGAAAACTAAAACAATTAAGTTAATCCCAAAGCTAAAACAAACAAAACATGAAAGCAATGGCACAGGAACACAAACAAAGATACAGAAAAATGCTCAGAGCCACACACCTATTCTTAGGTCAATGCTCATGCATATATGTCATGTATTTATATATAACCTAAACGTATAGCCTCAAAAATAGATATAGCATACCTCATCATCACTGTCAAAGAGACATCGTCTTAACAGAATAAATACTCGTGGCTGAAACATAGAAGAAAAAAAAAATTGTTTACTCTTATCAGAAACCATAGCCAGCAACAAAACTCATTGCAGTAAAGAGGGGGGAGATAAGAGAAGACATTGTTCATTTAAAAAGATATCACCTTCAATGAATCAACCAAAGCACCAAATTTTGCCAATGTGCTCACAGCACTGGCTCGAACAGTGGCATTCTCAAGATGTACTCGGTTATAAATATACCGTATGTATTTGCTTGGATCAGAGGTTTTTGGCCCTTCAATACCCAAAAAGTGGAGTATCTAACAATACAAGAACTCAATCAGCCAAAAACATTAAAAGTATTAAATTCTTAACAAGTTTATGATAGAGAAAAATTCCACCTGTGTAGAAAGATAGGTGAATTCACAATCTTCAATGAACTCACAAAGATGAAGCAGGCCACTTTCTTTTGCATCAGGGATATCTCTTATGAGAATCACAATTGAATCAACAATTGCCTTTTTGTACTCAAATCCACCTTCTTCTCTGAGAATGTTGCTGAGAAAGTTCATCCTGTTGAAAATGACAGACAAGGAATGTTACTTGAAAAAGTATAGACAAATAAGAATACGTGCAGTGAAACTAATAACCATCTTAAACCAAGCATTTTGAAACCAAAAAAAAACTGTATCTGATATCCCACTCACAGAGCTCTGTACTTCAGTGGAAACTTCAAACACAATGACCTTATGGCTTCCACAACTACAATTTTGAACTCATCAGCAATATCTGACATGAAATTAGTTATCTGTTTCATCAAGCGATCCACACTTGATTCATTTCCTGTCTTCAGAAGTGTGGTGATTGCCAGTGTGGCAATGCTTCTGTTCTGGTCAGAAATCAAACTCTCCATATCAATGTTGCAGTTTGTGACAGCCATTGGATGTGTCATTGCCACCTGAAAAAAGTTCAAAGTTGTTAGTATAATATATCAGGAATAATATTAACCAAGAATCAATAAAACAACTAAAATCAAAGTAATAAGGACCAACATGCTTTTTTCCAAACAAAAAAGCCAGATAATCAAGACCTACATAGTATGGATAAATGTATAATACATTGATCATACAATCAAATTCATTTCATATAGGATTTCACATCTACCTCAAAACTACAAGAGCAAAATTCATGACAGAAGGTCAGTCTGATTTCATTTACCAACAAAAAAGAAACTAAAATAACATTATATCAAATTATCATAAATTTCAAATACAACTTGTAGTACAGTAGAAGGAGGAGAGGGAAACCTTGTTCAAAGTGCGGACAGCAGCAAATCTTAGCACTGGCTTGGAAGAGCTCAAAAATAGCTGAAGAACTGTGATTGCAGGAGTCAGTTCTCTGGTGGTCACGCCATGGAGCTCTGTAATTGCTCTGGCGGCCTCAAAAATCACCATCTCTGCTTTGTGGCGAAGACAGCCCTCAAGATAATCGTAAAAAGGACGGTCGCCCATTTGTGCATTTCCAGCTGACTCACGGATAACCTTTAGACAAATAATTAATTAAAATAAAGCACCAGAAAACCAAGTTGACTAACAATTTCCAGCAGAATAAGCACCTGACTAGTATATCGGATCAATAGACATTGGGCCAATGGTGAACGGACAGTCCCCCTTGTCAAGCTGGTAACCAACTTGCTAACAGCAAGACGGTCATTCTGTCGTATCTGCAGTTTCAAAGGTACAATCTCCTCAAAACCTTTCAATTCTAAACATGATCGATATAATCTTATCTAAGGATAGCTGTTGGGTAGATGAAGAATATTTCTTTATATTCCATATAAAAACTTTAAAAATGACTGTTCCTCTACCAGAATCAACCATATGGCATAACTACCAAAACAAGGAAACTAGGTCCATGACAAAGAGTTAAAAAGCTAAACTATGGCATGGCAAATGATTACACACACTTCACACCTAGCCTGCTTGTTGCACTTGCTCACATGAACCCAACATATGCCTATGAATGCAAATAAGTAGTTAGCTATATGGTAAACTAACCATAAGGAGGATATGAGACTAAGAAATTACTCTATGCTTTCAACAACAAAAACTCCAGAGTCTAAACCAAACCAATCACACATACCTGATGGAGCAAAGCCAGTGCATGGAACTGTACGAGGGCAGCTCTTGACTGGACAGCTTCCTGAACCTCATTACTCCACCTTTTGACAATCTCTGGGTTAGTCTGTCAAAAGGGGAACGTAAGATGCAAATTCAGCAAACAACTAAATCCTGCAACTAGGGATAACAGAAACCGTACCTGGAGTAGATGAATCCCACTAACTAAAGCTGCACTTGCAACCACTGGATTCTTGTCAACAATGGCTTGTTTCAAATATCGCTCAATCTGGGTCAGAAGGGTTCCATCTGTAATCCGACACAGCACACGGATGGCATTTGCCCGATACATATCAGTTTTACTATTCATATCCTTCATCAGGGAGCTTGTCACAATAATAACCTTGTCATCAGAAACATATCTGAAGTCAGTCCCAATCTTTGTGCATGCAAATATATTGAGGAAATCAAATCATATCAAGTTATGTCACCTCATCTGCAGAGGGAGAGAGCTCTTTTATGATCAGATAAACCATTCTCCTCAATCCTATATCTCTCGATTGGAAAAGCTTAGTCACAGAAAAGAAAACTTCTGTAGCTTCAACCTATCAGTTTAATTCCAAATAACATGAATCAATTGATGAGGAATAATGCAATAACAATGCTGCAAGTAGATCAACAAAATTGACGCATAAGACACTGATTCAAGGAAGCAACAGAACCATTCAGTACAGAAGGAAATTGACCTTTGTAAAGGTTTCTCCCTGGTTCAGTAGATACAGAAGCTTCGTAATGACCTGAAAATGCAAAACAATGGAAACTACCCAAAATTAATTTATGGAGAGCAAATAAGAGGACAGAGAAAATGTGATTAGATGGATAATTCGGTGGTGCAAAGCAATAACCTGAGAGCATCTTCTAGAGTCTAGCTGAGGATCATTGAAAACCCTGGCTTCCTGAAGAACAGCACCCTTCTCGATCCCCAGAAACGGAGAGTACTCTGCTGTGAACCAACATCACAAAAGATACAGCCTTACTAAGCAGCTAATTACTATAAAACTCAGAGAATTGACATTGCTAATACCCCAGAACCGGAACCAATCAACAAGGCTACAAGATCCAAATCACTAGACCATTGACACTAAATCACGACAAACCAATTAGTTTTGCAATAAGTTTAGTTTCTGCATTGCAACATTGGCGCAACAAAACTTATAAATGAACCAGATCAGCATAAAGTGAAGCCGATCAATAATATTTAAACCCTAATTTACTGCAATCCCATTCAAAGGCCTCAAAATACGTAAATCTTGGGAATAAAACAGCTATAAACAACGAGATCTGGGAGCACAAATCGCCGAATAAGAATTTGCAGCCTAGAGGCCCAAAATTTAACCAAAATTGGGAGTGAAAAACCAGATCGATTTGGAGAGCGAGAAAAATTGTGAGTCTATGAGTGGGAGGGGCATACCTTCATCGTCACGATCGTCGTCCTTCTTTACGAGAGGCTGAGCCATCGCAAAGCCAAATGAATCTCTGAGATCTAGAGAAACTGTACGGACCTGTTAGCCTCTCTCTCTCTAAATGTTTGCTCGTTGGCCCGCTCTGAGCGTAGTTAGTGAGGTTTTGAAGGTGAAGAAAAAATAAGAGATTAAAAAAAAAAACGAGACTTTGTTTCTAAACAAACGCACACAGAGCCTAAAGAGGGCTCCAGATCAGATGAACTAGAAGATGGAGTTTGGATCCTGTACGGGCGTGGGTCTAGTGGTGCTGACGGTGTTTGATTTATGGGAGCACGCCACGTCATGTGTGCTGGAGGATCCAGTAGGAGTAGAAGTTCTAAATTACCCTTTCGCAGAAGATGAAAGTTCAAAACTACCCATGAAGTACCAAACCCAAACCGTGCGACTTACTTCAAATGCCGATTGATTTAAAATACGAATAGCCTGTACCTTCTATTTTTCCTTGTTTCTTTTTCAATTTATTGGGTATTTATTCACTCTTGAAAATGTCTTGCATTAATACAACGATGGTTACTTGCTTTCAATATTGGAAAGATAAATATCGCTAGACTAAGAGTTCGTTTGATAACCATTTCAGTTTTCATTTTTCAAAAACTGAAAACTTGTTTCATACTGGTAAATTTTTTGGAATTATGATTTTTTTTTGTGAATTTTAATTCTAGAGGTCCTGAGGCTTAGACTAGGTCTATGGCCGAACACAAGAATCGAGCAGTGAAGTCCAAGTCGAGAGGTCCCAAATACCGAGTTTTGATAAATAGAGTACATTTGATTTCATGTGTGGTGATGTCAAATTAGTGAATAAAAAAGGTGCACAAAAATCGACTAATATAAAGAAAGAATTGTGACAATGACATGAGCACTAGTATGACACGACCTAGTAAGCACATAGAATAAAATCAACTTAGAGTCAAGTGAGTAATCCCATTTTGACACAGAGTGTTAATCCTAACAATTTGTAAAACTCAAACACTAACCTTGCTCAGCCTTGTTGTCGAAATTGTCGACATTAATTAGAGAGATTCTTCTCCTTAGATGTGGATGACTCATACTCTTATTCTAGATGGAGTGAATGCTTTTGAGTTGTGTGTGTCGGTCTAGGAGGGAGCTCTCTATTTATAAGGATCCCTCAAGATGTCTTGCCCATCAAGAAACAGTAGTAGAACAATGAATCTCAATACATATAGAACTAAGAACCCTTTATCTTTATATTTAACTTAAACACTGATTGAAAAATAAAAGCAGCTGGACGAGTACATGTTGAGTTTTTGATCAATACCGAGTCCTAGACAGACAATAAATCATCTTACACAGAGAACACATTTAACTTGTATTATATAAAGAAAAAGGCTCACAATATGTAGGGGTCAATCAATCTGAGCAAGACACAGTTAGAAACGGATGAGTTTTTTTTTTTGTTTTTTTTTTAAACAATTGATTAAATAAGTTAGGTTAGAGTTGAGTATTTTTATCACAAACAAGAAATAACATGACACGAACATGACGCGCTTAAAACAAATTGCCACCAGTACCTCAAAGGATGATCAAACTCAAATGCAAGAGAGCTTGGTCTAACCCAAATCTGCATCCAAAGCGGATTTGTAGTAAAAATGGGTTTTGTACATTTGTGCAAACCATAATTTACAAACCCACGATCAAACAAAACTACTCCACTCCTTTCAACTCCCCTTCAGTTTTCTTTTGGTACGCAACTCTCAGTTCAATTTCCAGCATCCCACTCTACTTGTCTCCATGAGAAATTCGTCTCCTAGTGATTAACATAGAAGTATTAACTGATTAAGCTTCTCAAAATTCTCCCATCCCTACAATATAGTTGTTTCCCATTGTTCCATTTCTTTACAAGGACATGATTGTACATTTTAAAACTACAAAGACGAAATTGTAAACTCAAACAAACTGCAGAAACCAAAATGTATCTCTTCCTAAACGAAATTGGGGCATCCTTTGCGAAATCAGTCGAGACTAAATATCAATTTGCAGCATAGACTCTTTAACACAAAATAACTGCATCAATGTGTAAAAATATACCGGTAGAGAGAACCATACATGGAAGAAGAAAGGGTCATTTACAACATTCTAATGGAAAGCTACATGGTGTGAGATTGATAG